GTATTTTTGAACCCTTTATAGCATTCTGTTTTCTGGTTTTTTTTTTTTTTTTTTTGGAGAGTGCCTATTAGTGGGACAGCAAATTATTAAGCCTTCTGATAACAACATGCTCAGTTGGGAATAGGTTGAAAGTGGTGCGAACAATAGTTTGACGTGTCCGTAGCTGATGTTGCTGCTCTCCTCGTCTCTGCAGAGCCAAACTTTCCCAAAGATTATCCCACCGGATGTCTGCTGGGCTGCGTTAACGTGACCGAGTGCCTGTCTCAGGAGCAGTTCAGACAACAGGTTGGTCAATCACATCCTCTGGTTATACTCATTTTGAAAGGCACTGCAACACTTGAGCACTATTTCGTGATTAAAATTTGAGAGCTGTTGATTTTGTTCTCGTGTTTCTTCATGTTCTGTGTTTACACCAGAGGCTGGAAAATTGTGTCTCACACTTTCTGACTAGCTTCAGAAAGGACACAGTTTTAAATAGGCGACTCAAATCATAATAATAATAATAATAAAAATCCGATCTACTATTAACCTAGAAAGTGTGATCATGTTTAAACGACGGCTGCAGTATAATTTCCTGCCAGCAGAGGTCAGACTGCGCTGCTTTTTATTTGCCGCATCATATTTTCTCCCAGCAGAGGCAGAATGCGCCACAGGAACTGAATGCTAGGCTTCTTCACTGCACCATTATAAATCTGATAGTTAAACACTCAACAGTCACTCTTCGTTTGGGGAATTGGGAAAAAAAAGTGGCTTTTCTCTAAAGATGTCTTGTGATTCTACTTTCTGCCTTAATGAGCTTACAAACCTCTAACTTAAGCTTTTATTTCTATTTAGCATAAATTATGGCACGGTTGGCAAGTTTAAACTAATCTGAACTGATTTGCCTCTGAAACTGAAATCATTTGTTTTTGTTGTTTAAACGTTTCTATGTTTACCATCCATTTTATGTGTCATTAATATACTGAATGTTTATTAGAGATTTAAGAAGAGCTTCTAATATTCATAACAACTGATTTTTTTCATTGGAAATCTCTGTGACCTTTTAAATAAATGAATAAATAATATTGGCTTTAGTAGCAATACTGCTAGTAATACTAGTGATGTAGAGTTTTTTTTTGAAGGTGTAGCTTTATATTTATGTCTCTACGGTGCAGTGCAGTCCTCCTTCGTTTCTGTCCGAGCATTTCTGAAAAAGAAATGCCTGCCCTGCTTTGCTTTGCTGCGTCGTCAGCTACTGAAGTCTTCGTGTTTTACATGCACATAAAGGCTTTCAAAATTATATTCCTGAAGCGTCATCAAATTAGCAGTCAATTTAATTGTCTGTATTCTATTTTATGCCTCTAATAAAGTTTGATGTTGTAATACCAATAGATACTGATGCAAAAATAGTGCAGAGACCGTTTTTAATTTGTTTTTATTTCCACCATTTCAGTGAATGAAGTGAAGCAATCAGATGCAATTCATTTTAATTATGCAGCTAATGTTTTTGTGATGGTCCTGTGTACTGGCATGTTTTTTTTTTGTTTGTTTTTTTTTGGGGGGGGGACATGTTGGGCAAATATACTCCAGTCTTGCAAAGCTACCAGCTTTCTCGCAGATGTTTGCACACACTTGTTTACTATATTAGACTGGAGCCGATCACATATGGAAATTGTCTCCTGTTGCAAAACAGGCTCAAGGGACGGGAAAGAAAAAAAAAGGAATAAAAACAAAAAAAGCATCTGTGCTTTTCTTTGAGCCATGTTCTACTCATGTTTTCATGTGTCTTTAAGACCCAGTTTCAAATACACACACACACACACACACACACACACATGCGTCTTTCTGCATACAGCCGGTTGTCTTGTGTCTGAAAAGCTTTCAGAATGTGTGCTGCGACACGATTGCATTCTGACTGCTGGGACCTGTAAATTTAAGGGCTTTTTTTTCCCCCCTTTGTGCTTCATTCTCATTCTCTCCTCCACCACTCATTCCACCCAGGGCTGTAAAATCATGTTTGCAGGCTGTGTGACTGCCCTTTCATCCCGTGAAAGGGTGTGTGTGTGCATCTGTGTGTATGTGTCCACTTGCACTGAGCAGCCATAAATAACCCCTCCTCACACACACACACACACACACACACACACACACACGCACGTGCGAGCACATATAATGGCCCCCGTTTAAAAAAAAAAAAAAAAAAAAAAAGGAGAAAGTAAGGCAGATGAAAAAAAAAAAAAAAAAATGAGTCAACCAGAGAGAAATAACACCACCAAACGCCTAACGATGGTGTTAAGCAGAAGGTTAACGCACATTTCATTCAACTTGGTGGAAAAAGTAGCATCTATTATCCATTTAGCCTTTTAATCTCACTTCCTTTCTAGTCCCAAGGAGGCACGTTGTGTTGGTGCATAGTAGCACATAGCTGTGCTGCTAGGCTGAGTGGGTGAGGTGTAGGATTTACTGTCCTGAGCTGGCAGCTGTGGGTGGTTAAAAGAGGGGTGGTGAAGGACAAACAGCCATTATTCTTCAGGCTTTTCTAAATCTGTCCCAAGTGATGTCTGAAATGTATTCAGAGAAAGTAGAATGTGGGCAGATCAGGAAAGACATGAGTGAGGCACTAAACATTTATATATGTGTAAAAAGAAAAAAAATGCTAAGAACGGTATCACCACTTAATGTCGTCCATGTGCCGTAGCAGTCGTTCCCCTGTTGGGGCGCTGCTGCGTAGATCAGCACCGCAACTGTAAGAGTATAGAAGCGGACAGTATAGAAAGCAAACCTGGGCCGAGCAGGGATTTCGTTGGCTTGACTTGCACCGATTCTTTCTCTAGTCAGAAACTGACTGCTGTATTGATCCGTCCTCCAGATAATCTCTCACTCCATCCAGCTCCCCATCCCCCACTACCACTGATCATTTGTGAGCCATTATGATCTGTGCTGCCTCTCTCCTCTCTCACTCCTCGGTGCTCACTCAGCAGCGGGGAGGAGAGGCTTGACTGGCAGAGGGTGGTGGGGATAATATATGGTGTCTTGCAAAGGTTTTCACACCCCTAGATTTCACATTATGTCACATGAGAATCGGAAGTTTCAATGTATTTTACTGGGATTTTATGTAATAGGTGGTGTGTAAAAGTGATTCTGAGTTTTTTTTTGGTTTTTAAACCTTTTTAACAGATTAAGAATCTGAAAAGTGTGGCATGTGTGCACCAACTTACCTGTGCAAAGCTTATTCTTCTTTGCGAGATGGAATGGATAATGTGTAGACGGAGCCATTTTGGAATGTTGCCACAGATTTGGTTCTGGGGTTTGACTAGGCCATTCTAGCACATGCTTTGATCTGTTGCAGTTCTGGCTCCATGTTTAGGGTCACTGCTGTGATTTAAGGTGCATTTCTGCTCCAATCAAAAGCTTTTCAGGTAGTGTCGTATTAGTTTTCTTCCACACATGTTTTGCATGCAGGCTACCAAAATTGACCTTTTGGACCACATTCATTCACGTTTTCCATGTATCCTCATGGCAAACTGCAAATTGGCTTTTGGTTTTCTTTTGCAATGGCTTTTTTTTTTTTTTTCTCCCTTGCTGCTCTTCCATAAACGCCAAATTTGTGAATTTTCATCAGATTCTCCCAGATGAGTTGTGGGATCTGTGCAGCTTTTCCAGTGCTACTACGGACCTTCTTGCTGATTTTCTTGGGTTTTTGTTTATTGCTTAACTTTGCTTCAAACCTATTTAGAAACTGAGATTAAACTACACAGAAGTGGACTATGATTACTAATCAGGAGACTTCCCAAGTAATTTGCACTTGTCTTGTCGGCTTAATTTTTTTAATAACATAAAACCAACTTTTAGCTTGAGGAAAGCAGTTGTTAGAAAAGGCTGATTTCATCACTGCATTGGATGACCGGGTTGACATAGTTTAGTCTCCGTCATTCAGGCAAATTAAAAAAAAAAAAGTTTGTTAACTTTGGGCTGCACATGTCAGACACATCTATGTTAGAACACATTTTATGGGTTCACACCTGCAGGAGATCTCAGTAAAGGTCTGATTTCTATTTAGAGATCATATGAGGGGCTTTAGAGGAGGTTTGCATGGCACAATTTGTACTTTTTTTCTGTTTTGTGTTGAGTCAAGTGGGATTGTTGTAACTATCCAAAGATCCTCAGTATGAAATGATGTCGAAACAGTTTTGCATCATTCGCAGATGTTGAATAAGCTCATGAGCGTATTTTATTAACCACAGGTACTCAGCGTTGAAGTCTGACATAACACATCCCCCATCCCGGGAGGAAATGTGAGATACACACATATTTGAGACATGACTTGTTCTGAATGGTTTCCATCAGCAGGTTTCAGCTGGTGTCGACTCACGTCTGACCTCTAAAATACACGCTGCACGAACAGAGCTAATTTTATTCTGCTGACTGAAGACAACAACAGCAAATAGAAAGAAGTAAAAGGAGGAAGATTATTTAAGGTGCGGTAAGAGGATAAGCACATGTTTGAATAACCTAGAGAGAAAGCTGCTTTCAATTTAGCTGCTTCGCTCAGAGAGTCCTGCTGTTTGAAATGCTCAGTCACCGTCGTCGCCGACCAGGACCAGTTAACATTTTCAGAAATAAATCGCTTTCCATTAATTTTGATTGCATTTGCATTGTATTGGTGTCAAGTATAAAGGAGCACCCCAGTGCACGTTTCTAATATCTTAAAGGAAGACTCAACCAAGACAATTTTTGTGCTGTTTGGTGTTTTTATTGCCAGGTCTCTTGCTTAACAAATCAGGTTGTTAATCGGTGTTTAATTTGTATTTAAAGCAGCGGCGTTATACATTTTCTAGGCACACGGTGCCGTTTCGTAGGACGATCAACTGACTATGTTACCTTCTGTGGTTAACAAGGTCAACAAAAGGTTGTTAACCTCTGTTAAGTTGTTAAAATGCTGCTCAATGACAGCATTTTCTGTTAAGAAAATGTTGTGTGTGTATATATATAAAAAACAATTTGATTTAGCATCATAGCCGTATCTGACACCTTGAAATAATTTCCCTCTGTCTCTAAGAATTTTGTCATCACTGCTTTGCTTTGCCTTTCTTTTGCTTGTTTTTCTCATCAACGCAAATCAGAGATTAGATGCTCTGCATAGACTCAAAAATATAGTTTAAGTCCAGCCTTTCACAGAAGTCAGTTTTATCCATTCCAAAACCCATTTTGAGATGTTTTTGGAATCACTGTCCTGTTGGAACATTCAATTGAGTTCAGTATCCTCAATTAATTGAGCATATTGTAAGGTTTAATAACGAGGATCA